AATTTTAGTTGAGACTGTTGAATTTCAATCATCAAGTAGTATTGATGGATTTTCGTTGCACAACTCGTCATTAGAATCAGTTGGTTTTTATAGTTCTAAAAAGATGGCTAAAAGAATAAGGGCGCAGAAAAATATTATGACAGAAAATCTAGCTGCAACATTGGATCGTTGTAAATTATCTGATAGAGATGCAGTATTTGTACTTACATCTACAGCTGAAGCTCTTGGTCATAATGTAAGTGACTTAATCATTAATCGCTCTTCGATCTATCGTTTTCGTGAAAATTTTCGAAAAGATTATGCTACTAAAGTTAACACTCTTTTTTTTAAAATCAACATGGATGCTATAACTGTTCATTGGGATGGAAAATTGCTCCAGTCATTAACAAACAAGGAGCTAGTTGATAGGTTACCAATAGTTATAACTTATAAAGGTGAAGAAAAATTAATAAGTGTGCCTAAGTTGCCATCTGGAAATGGAAAAAACCAGGCTTTAGCGGTTTATAATGCCTTAGAACAATGGGGTCTTATAGATAAAGTTCAGGCTTTATGTTGTGACACAACAGCATCAAATACTGGACGTCTCAATGGTGCTTGTATACTTTTAGAACAAGAGTTAAATAAAAATATTCTTTATATGCCATGTAGACATCATATTTTTGAATTAATTTTAAAATGTGTTTTTGAAAATAAAATTCAAAAATCATCTAGTCCCGATGTTGCTCTTTTCAAAAATTTTCAATTAGTTTGGAATAAAATTAACAAAAATAAATTTAAAGTTGGAATATCTGATAAAGCTGTTGTTGATAAATTAAAAGGGTCAATAGATGATACAATAGTCTGCAAAAAAAAAATTTAAGTTAGCGAAAATTAAGAGAAGATTATCGTGAACTTTTAGAGCTCACAATTATATTTTTAGGTGGAGTTCCTCCTCGTGGCATATCATTTAGAACCCCTGGAGCTTTTCATCATGCTAGGTGGATGGCTAAAGCTATTTATAGTTTTAACATTTTTCTTTTTCAAGACCAATTTAAAAAAAAAACAGGAGTTAAACGGTTTTCGAGATATATGTATCTTTCTTTCAAAAATATATATAATGGCGTGGATAAACGCAACAGACGCTATAAAAGCTCCATTTTTTGACCTATGTTTCTTAAAAAGCCTTTTTTTATATAAAGATATCGATGAAAACATAAGTTTGTTAACAGTAGCAAAGTTTTGTTGCAATTTGTTGTTGCAAAAGTTGGAGCAATTTTCCATCCCAATGAACAGTTATAGCATCCATGTTGATTTTAAAAAAAAGAGTGTTAACTTTAGTAGCATAATCTTTTCGAAAATTTTCACGAAAACGATAGATCGAAGAGCGATTAATGATTAAGTCACTTACATTATGACCAAGAGCTTCAGCTGTAGATGTAAGTACAAATACTGCATCTCTATCAGATAATTTACAACGATCCAATGTTGCAGCTAGATTTTCTGTCATAATATTTTTCTGCGCCCTTATTCTTTTAGCCATCTTTTTAGAACTATAAAAACCAACTGATTCTAATGACGAGTTGTGCAACGAAAATCCATCAATACTACTTGATGATTGAAATTCAACAGTCTCAACTAAAATTTTTAATGATTATTATTAATTGTATAATAATTATTGCTTATAATGGTTATAAATATTCCACAAATTTACTTAAATTGTTCTTTCTCTTCTTCAAAAAAATATTTTTTACAATCTCAAAATATTAAAATAATAATCAATATGAATATAGAAGACTTCATTACTACTGAATCAAACAACTTTTTTAAACGTTTTAATATAAGCATGAATTTTCTAAAAATAGATCTTATTTTGTGGGAACATAATGACGACTACATAACAGGATTGAACACCGTAAATAAATTAAAAGTTACAAAAGATGTTGCAGAAAGAGGCGTAAAATTAATTGAAGATTACAACAATATTTTAACAAAAGATGAAAAACAAAAACAATATTTATTGCAAATGGTGTCTGAACACAGAAAAATGTATCCTAATACCAAAAAATCAACTTTATCCCAAAACTTTTAATACATATGTATAAGTATAAATAAAAGGTATAATGCACATTTATAGTATTTCATTTTATTTTATTTTATACAAATTAAAAATGTTATTATTCATTAATTAAAAAATCTACATTTTTAATATTATTAATTTTTTTACAAATTTTCAGAAAAAACTATTTTTTTAATTTTATTTCATTTTTTATGATTTATTTCAACTAATGCTAGTTCAATGCCATAAAATTCAACTTAATAACTTCATTTATTTATATTCAAGTCAGTATAAACATTTGAAAAGGTTATAACGGAGCATTGAAACTATTAAAGTAACGAGGTATAAAAAATAAGCTGTTTAATTATTTTTAAATTATCATTATATTGTTATCGCATGTAAAAAATTCAATAAATTTTTAAAAATAATATATCAAAATATTTGTCTTTAAATAAGGTTTTTTTTTTTTGTATCTTGACTTTTATTGAAAAAATCACTTGAAAACCTCTAATATAAGTTTTTTTTATCGTTTTATAGAATATTCTTCGAAAATTCGAGGTCAAAACCTTAAAATGCTGTGCGCCTCAATTTAAATTTTTCCAAATGATTTTAAATTTTCAGAATATTATTTTTTTATACTAAAGAAAAAAATGGAGGGGTGTCCCGAAAGAAATTTCGAAATTCGAAAAAATAAGGACCACCCTAGTCAACACTCTCTCTGTCATATTGTTGGTAATTTTGTAACGGTAATTCACATTAATATTGTAATTTGTAGAAAACTTTGCTTACGACTATTTCCTAACTTAAATTCTTAAATCAAGTTTTAGAAACCTCGTGGTTGATTTCAAATTTCTTATTAAATATTGGTTTATTGGTAATATAAAATAATTATTACACATTTGTTGTTGTCATATCAAATAGATATTGTAATAGTACATTAAATAGTCAAGTCAAAATCTTAAATTAGTGTTGAAATCATTCACTAGAGTTCTAATACTTCTTGGAGGCTGGTGGCAGGGCTTATTTTAACGGGTAGTAGAACCTGAATTGGTAGTTGAAAACATAATTTGGGTAGTTGAAAATTCAAAATTGGGTAGTAGATTTTTTCACCTGTAGGAAACTAGGTAAATTCTAATAATAAAATATTGAAGCCATAGATTTATATAAATAAAAATTGAAAGTTATCAAATTAAAAACGTTTTTTAACTTAAAAGTTTAAGCACATATTTTAATTTTTAACAAATCGTAATGTATTTTTACTATATATTAGAAAAAAGACTGGCAACGGTATGATCGCATTGCGAACGTATAAGTTTTCTATAGACCTATACGTCGTAAGACGACTTCGTGTGCCCGATGCGCATTGTGGCATTGTGTAGTAATCGATATAGTATAGTAATATACGATATCGGTAATGTCGTCGTGCCGTCGTTAAAACCCATTTAAAAATAAATAAAACGCACAGTATCGCAAGACACGGTCGTATTGAAACCAAACACTAATTTTATCTGTTTATTTTATCTAATTCGTTATCGACCTTTCTTTATATTGTAGTTTAAGTAATACTGCACTATATAATGCGCATGTTGACTACTGCGTGATTTTGCTTAGGACATATAGGTCTATGGGCTAGCACTACAGTAAATAAATTCACGTGAATTACTGTATTATATACTTATTTTAATAAAAAGTGAAAAATAATACAAGAAAAGACAGTACTTATCTTATAGTAAAAAGTGAAAAAGTGTAAAAATGAAACGGGCTTCATCTCTTCAAAAATATGTTGCAAAACAACTTCTTTGTATAGTTGGCTGAATCTAAATAAAGCAAGTTGTTCGACCCAGTTAAATTTAGCCACACAAAACTCAGCATCTTCTGAGGAATCTCAATTATCGGAACCAGTTAAAGAAAAAGAAATAATCGAGAAAATTTCGGAAAATGAAAACCCAAGTGAAACCCTCACACAAGAAATTCCAATTTCTAAACCTGAAGCAAATAAACAAAACTCCGATGCTCAGGCATTTGAACATTATCACCGAGATGGTAAGCACTACGTAAAATGTAAATACTGCAACATGTTTCCAAACATAGTAAAGCTTCATGGAACAATGACTCGATTGCCTGCGATAGTAACAGATGGTACTAGATTTAGAAACGATACGATAGAAAAACATATTTCTCAGAAATATCATTCGGAGTCTGTGAAAGCTTTTAGATTATTTACTTTAAAAGTACCAGAAAAAGCAAAAGAATGTACTATGGATAAGATGCTCACACAAATGAACGAGGATCTAGCAAATAAAATTGGTGGATTAATGATACATACATATGCTGACGCAAAAAAAATTACTCTCAGTGCTTACTCATTTCCATCAAGAGTTGTTACTTCCATAGCTGCTCAATCGTTTCAGGTTAAAAATGTGAGTGTCCCGTGCGTTCCTCAAGACGTAAATTTTCAATATTTGACCCCAACCGCACATAAAGAATTTATTCAGTGTATTATTAAAAGTGATCATTGTGTGCAAGATATACTGAGCTCTAACATTTTATCGCTTTCTTTGAGATGTGATGGCAGTGTGGACCGTATGCAAATAGACAAGATATATGTTTTTGCAAAAGTCATAAAAAAATCTGGTGAATCAGTTCAATATTTCCTTGGGTTAAGTGAACCATCTTGTCAAGGTGCTGAGGGAATACTTGGTGCAATAGAGAACGCCATCGATACTACTGTAGGAGAAGGAATGTCTAGACAACTTTTTGAATTTGCCTCCTCTTTGGTAACAGATGGAGCAGCAGTGAACACTGGTTGTAGAGCAGGGTTGTGGGAGCTCTTTAGGAAAAAGTACAAGATTAACTCAAATCTTCCTTTCATTACCATATGGTGTGCAGCACACAGATCGGATTTGTCATCTCCAACAGGCGGCCGAAAAAAATAAATGCACTCTTTCGCGGTTGCCTCGTTTATTTGAAGTGCGGTGGTCCGAATTTTCGTTTGATTTAATCAATTCAGTTTTGGTTTCTTGGAATGCTTTAGTATTGTTCTTAAAAGATTGTCCTGACAAAGAGGCAAGAGGATACAGACTTTTTTTAATCAATTATGACAATCTACAAATCCTGGCATTTATTGCAGACGTATTGATGGTTTTCAGCAGATATCAGAAAAAACTGCAGTCTGATACAATTACAATTTTAGACATGGACAAAGAGACAGTGAACGTTATATCCAGGCTTAAAATATTAAAAACGGAAGCGTTGCTTGGTGGATGGGTGACAACCTTAAAAGAACAGTTAGAAATTCATAGTGAAAATGAGGTTTTACTAAAAGGAGAAGTCTTAACAAGAAATCGAAAACATCGTTTAAAGGAACATCACAAGTTTGTTTCTCAGAATCGAGACTACTCCGCAATCTGCAATGAAATTGTGGATTCTCTTGTAAATTTTTTGCAGGAAAGATTCGATATTGATGCGGATACTGTTAAAATTTTGAAACCATTCACTGAGCTAGAGCCATCCGTTGATATGAAAGCAGTTCATAAATTGATAGGAAACGACTTAGATCTTGCTGAACTTTCAATGGAATATTCGGAGCTTCTCACTCATAAAAATATTGAGCAGTTAAAAAAAATCAGCTTAAAAGAAACTCTTCAGGCTTTAGTGATGACAAATTTTTTTCCCAATGTTTCTGTTATAATGGCCAGAATTGTTGCAGCAAAACCTCATTCCGCTGATGTTGAAAGAGTGATTAGTGTGAACAATTTGTTGAAAACCAGCAATAGAAGCAGTCTAAGTATTGAAAGCGAGAATGAATATCTATATATTTATTTTAATCTTCCTCCATTAGCCGGATGGAATCCTCGTCCAGCAATTAATGAGTGGTTTAAGAAAAAAAGGAGAGTTAGAGAAACTGTTACGGCGAAAGAACAAGAGTGGTATAAGGGAATATTTATAAGTGCAAATGATAACCAAAAAGATTCGCAAACCGAAGAAAAAGTTCCTACGAGAATGTTTTAAGTTTTGTTTGTACTGATTTCAATTTTGAGATAACTTATTTTTTTATTATATATTTTTCTGTTTCCTTTTTTTAAAGTTTTAGGATTTATTGTAATAATAAAACACTAGTCATCATCAAATGTAGCACTTTTTTTTACCCCCACTAACCTACTAAAGTCTTTATGAAATTTTATGCTTTAAAAAACGTTTTTACTAACATAAAAAGCAAAAAAAAATGTTGCCTGTGTCCCCACCGAACCCCCGCATAGCTCTGTTATCCGAAAAATACTTCGTTATGTTTGATGTTTATGTTTATGTTGATGCACAACAGAAAAAAAGGACAGTGGGTAGTAGAAAAAAAACATTAGAATAAGGCCTGGCTGGTGGTAAAACTTTATCCAGTTGAATCTCAAAATTGTTTTACTTATTGACAATATGTCATGTAAAACTACTTATAATTATTAAAATCCATTGTCGATCAGTCGCTAAATTAAAATTTTTGTTCACAAATTTTGTCTATACTCACATTTGTAATCCCTCAACTTAAACTTATTTTGTCTTCTCAGAAATTATCTAGTTTCTCAAATTAAACAATCACACTAAACCTCACAAAATTAAATATTAGTAATTGATCTCATTTTAGTACCTTATATGACAGACTCCATTGATAAATTGCTCATATTATTTTTATTTTTTTTTGTACATGTAGTTTAAAATTAGCTTACACCTTGAAATCAAATGAGTATTAATTATTTGAGCTGACAATTCATTAATTTTAAAACATTATATTTTAAAAATTTTGTTGTAATGCACACTTTTAAACATGTTAGGTATATTTAATATATTGTCACATGTACTTATACATGTTGCTTGAGAACTGAATATCAGATTGTAGTTTGTTACTAGTTTTAAAAGTCTATTTAATCTACTTGTTTTTGATTGTATGATTGGGTTGAAACAATAGTTTGGTAATCATTTTGTAAATGCATGTTGTTTTCTAGTGTACAAAATCAACTATTTCACTTATAACCATAAAGTAACTTTGTTGTCATAAATGTAGTTATTTACCTAGTTGTAGTCAATAAAAAAAATATATACTTGTAAGTATAGAAATAAAAATCATATCTTTAGTTAATTTTCTTCTATCTGTTGTCATTTAAATTTACCCTCTATACAGTCCACTAAGAACATACAAAATAAATTTGGTAATAGCATCAGTACCATATATTGGTTCTACTTTTAAAAGTGATACAACTGTTCACTCAGCGTTGACTTTGCTCAAACAATTAAACTTAAATATTCAATTCGTCTGTCGGTTAATGTAGTGCGCTTACAATTACAAACACATTTAATCTAAGGCCTGTTAGGTTATTTTTCAAGATTGTACTGATTATTTCACAGTAGTACTTTATCATTCTATGTTTAAATAAATTTAGCATTATGATGTAAAAGGAGCTGAATTATGTTTTCATTTTAAGTTTATCATATGTGTAGCTCATAATGTAATCGTGTTATCTTGAGTGAGATAAATCAAAAACCTAGATCTGATCATAAGTTACCTCAACAGTACGCTTTATTATTAAGTCTAAAAAATATAAGACTATGATAGGAATCAAAGAGTTCCTTTTTTTAAAGTTAAACCGTATACTATCTACCAAACTGAATATAATTTTTCAAACTTGAACTAATAAAGTACATGTGCATGAAATTCCATCCATACATATTTCTTTTTATATATTTGCTTGATAATATATTGATAGAAAAAAGTTTTCAACTTTTACTACATAATCTATACTTCGCAACTGTGTTTCATCAAATAACTTACCTACTATGTTTGTATTTATAAAAATAAAAATGTATTCATACATATGTATATAAAGTTTTTTTTTTAGCAGTATTTTAGGTAATGTCTAATCTATTTTAAGTTTTATAACTATGAACAGTTAAATTTTATGTAAATATATTTACTGAGAAATTTCTAATCTTAGCATTAAATGATGTCCTTGAAAATTAAATGTATAATATTTTTTTGCAGAAAAATAAGATATCCTATTTATTTCCAATTTTTTTTTTAAAAAACCGAGCACATTGGGGATATGACACAGTGAGGACGTGGAATAGTTGGGTCAAGTATAATGATAGCTGACAGTGATTAAAATCACTATCATAAAAAACGTTCGATGCAAATCTATAAATAGAGATTAATTTTTTAAAATTGATGGATTATTCTAAAAGCTATATCATCTCCTATTTCCATATTGAAATCCTGAATACAACTTTTATGATTTATGAGTGTAATATATATAATATATATATAGAGTGGCCCACCACTCACTGACAACTTAAGTAACTTTTGATCCAGTTAATATTTTTAGCTGATTTTTTTTAAATATAATAGTTATACGTTAGGAATTCTAGTATTTAATTTTATTTATTTAATTTTTTCTTTATTTTTGAGTATACTAACAATTATTGTCATATTTATTATACCATTACAACATAGCACTTTTACTGTTATACTTCTAATTCACTTATTTTTTTTTTCTTTGTTTATAATTGTTGAGCTGCAAGCGGGCTTTTATATTAGTAAATCGGCCTGTAACAACAACGTGGTTTGCCACTTGCATAACGACTAGCTAGAGTAGCAAGGGTCGCCACCACCTAGGCGAGGTGTCACACCTATCAGATATGATTACCGGACCATAGGTGGAATTTAATTTTAAGTTAATTAAAAGTATAATCTAAGTTAATATGTCGTTATATATATAAATTACTATAATGCCTCGTGGTTTATAGAACACAATTATGCCAATCAAAGTTGTATGTGGTTGATATGTAAAACATACCGTAGCCCGTGTCTAGATTAAGGAATAGGAATGAAATACACGCGAGTAATTAAGTTACTCGCGCAATAAAATAAATATTACAGTTGAAATTAATAAGGAAATTTAATTTAATTGTTAAAAAAAGAAAATTAAGTTAAACATGGACAAAAATGCGAATGCATCAAAAACCATGTCTACAAATAAAGGCAATACAAATAAAATAAAATATTTAAACAAATAATATTACAAACATCACGGATTCATATCGATAACGGCCAGTCTTTTTGGAAGGGATCAATACTGATAAACAATTCGATTTTAATTATATTTCTCTTTTATCGCCTTATCTAGCGGTCAGAGGCAAAATAATGAGTGGTTGACACCGCCGTGTCAGAAAAAGGTTCTTTCGCGCGATAAAATAAATAAGTAGACATAACAAAAAATCATAAACGGTCCACCTTCGAATTTGTGACGTTACAGAGCTAAATATTATTTTAATAAAAGTTATTAAAAAAAAAATAATAATTAATAAATACTTATTTTTTAATAATAAGTAATAAAATAAAAAATTAGAAGTGATAGAAAAAGTCTAATTGCACATTTGAAAACATCGCGAAAAGTTGATTTTGAAAAGTATATTTTTGATTCTGATGAAAGTTCCTTGTAGTCCAGTGTATAAAACTTATAATTTTATTAACTGTTATGACTTTAAAAGTATTGCATCAATCCCTTTATATTTTTATATGCATTAAAAGTATATGAATATATAACTTCTTTTTATTTTTATAATATCTCCGTAAAAATTACAATATTATATTATTGAATATCAATTTCATTCATTCTATGTATTGTAATCATGTTTCTATTGTACTATTTACTTCTATGTACTATTTATATTATAAATGAGAGAATTAAACTAAATCAGTCTTTAGTTAAAAGAAAAATTAAGATAATAAAGAATTAATAAAAATGTTTTGAATAGTAAAAACTAATAGGAGAAAGAGTCAAAAAAATAAAGAACTAATTAGAGTATAAAAAAAAAAAAAGAAAGAAGAGAAAGAGATAAGTTACAAAAAATTAAAAAAATTGCATTTCACAAAAAAATAGAGGCGTAGAAGAATAAAAACACCTAGAGAATTTATTGCATAAAAAAAAAAAAAA